GGCAATAACTCATACAAAATATTTTTCGATTTTTCTGATTTTGGATAGGGATCATCCTTGGGTGAAAACGAAGATTCACATCAAGTTTCGTCAAAATCCGTCAAGAATTGTGCCTTCTAGAGTGTTAACGAGCAATTGTGGACGGACAGAAATTGGTGATGGCAATATACGACGGCGCAAAAAATTAAACATTTGATATATATAATTAAACACATTGAAGTTTGGAGCTTGAGACAAACAAGTGAAATAATAATGTCAAGCTGCCACGAAATTTGTGGCTCAGCATAACATTGAAAATTCTTGTCACAAGGTTCTGGTTATGGTGACCATGCACAAACCTAGTAAAATAGGCAAAACTAGACAAAACAGCTGTGAATAATTGAGGCAATTCCTGAGAAACTAAAGTTGTTATCCATAAATCACAGATGTTTCTCAATTTGTTTTCTTATTTCTCAATTTCTCAAAATAGTTTGGAAAAATCGTAAAGCAGCTACCAAAAAATTGACTTTTGTATGTCTTTTTAAAAGGCTAGGTGCGCCATTTTGGAGGGGTTGATTTTAGTCTTGAATATATGTAAATAGTCTTCAGAAGTATTAGAAATGTACAAAAATCACATAATTCCTTTAAAAATATCTCAAACTAGGAATTTTACTCATTATTTCTATAAATAACTATTCTTTATATCACAGATTATCTTAAATTGATGAGTCGTCAATAGATTTGAAGGCTCAGCTAAAAATTCCAGTTTCTGAGACTAAAGTATGATTGGTCAAAAAATGACCTACCTGTCTCTTTAAGATAGATATTGAATAAAAAACCAAGACATGAATACCTGAGTTTTAGGTTTTTCTGTTTTATTTTGTGAAGATGTTTCTTCAATTTCTGATTTAACTGTGGTCTTTTTATTAGTATTACCAAACATAGTTGCTATACTTCCTTTTGGTTCTGGTTTCTTTTTTATATTGGTCATATTGGATGGTGGTGCCGTCACATTTTCTTTCTATACATCAAATATCATGATCATAAGATAACATCATAGAGAAATATTTGCTTTTGATAAATATTTAAAGAAGAATCTAAAAGCTCTATAACACCAGACTACTACCATTACATTGTTACATGCATTGAGTCACTTTTCCGTCACAGTCAGAACGCCTTTCCGGTGTGACAGGGCCATAATAGAATATTTGAATACATGTATAACAATACCTTGATAGTTAGGGGTTTAGTTTGTGGAGATTCAGTTTTAGGAACAGTCAGACCTAGCTTCTTTAATTCTTCTTCACTTCTTCTTTCAGCTTTCTTACATTTTATAGCACTATAACTATAATATAAATAAATATATAAATTATAGCACTATAACTAAAATAATTACATATAAGCTTATAAATTATAGCACTATAACTAAAATAATTACATATAAGCTTATAAATTATAGCACTATTAACTAAAATAATTACATATAAGCTTATAAATTATAACACTATAACTAAAATAAATACACATAAGCTTATAAATCATAGCACTATTAACTAAAATAAATACATATAAGCTCATAAATCATAGCACTATTAACTAAAATAATTACATATAAGCTTATAAATCATAGCACTATTAACTAAAATAAATACATATAAGCTTATAAATTATAGCACTATAACTAAAATAAATACACATAAGCTTATAAATTATAGCACTATAACTAAAATAAATACACATAAGCTTATAAATCATAGCACTATAACTAAAATAAATACATATAAGCTTATAAATTATAGCACTATCACTAAAATAAATACATATTTTACATATAAATTATAGCACTATTAACTAAAATAAGTACATATAAGCTTATAAATTATAGCACTATTAACTAAAATAAATACATATAAGCTTATAAATCATAGCACTATAACTAATATAAATACATATAAGCTTATAAATCATAGCACTATCACTAAAATAAATACATATAAGCTTATAAATTATAGCACTATAACTAAAATAAGTACATATAAGCTTATAAATCATAGCACTATAACTAATATAAATAGATATAAGCTTATAAATTATAGCACTATAACTAAAATAAATACATATAAGCTTATAAATTATAGCACTATAACTAAAATAAATACATATAAGCTTATAAATTATAGCCCTATTAACTAAAATAAGTACATATAAGCTTATAAATTATAGCACTATTAACTAAAATAAGTACATATAAGCTTATAAATCATAGCACTATAACTAAAATTAATACATATAAGCTTATAAATTATAGCACTATTACTAAAATAAATGCACATAAGCTTATAAATTATAGCACTATCACTAAAATAAATACATATAAGCTTATAAATCATAGCACTATTAACTAAAATTAATACATATAAGCTTATAAATTATAGCACTATCACTAAAATAAATACACATAAGCTTATAAATTATAGCACTATCACTAAAATAAGTACATATAAGCTTATAAATCATAGCACTATAACTAAAATTAATACATATAAGCTTATAAATTATAGCACTATTAACTAAAATAAGTACATATAAGCTTATAAATCATAGCACTATAACTAAAATTAATACATATAAGCTTATAAATTATAGCACTATCACTAAAATAAATACACATAAGCTTATAAATCATAGCACTATTAACTAAAATAAATACACATAAGCTTATAAATTATAGCACTATCACTAAAATAAGTACATATAAGCTTATAAATTATAGCACTATCACTAAAATAAATACATATAA